GCCGGCTCCTCCCCGGGCCGGGCCGTGGCCGGGCGCCGCGCTGCCCTCTAGCAGAGCAGGCACCGGGTACCCCCCCGCCAAGGGCAAGCCCCTTGTAGGCGGCCCGGCTTCCCGTCCCCGTGTCCGAGGGCCTGCGAACAACAAAGCGCCCTTCCAGGGCCCCAAGGAGAAACCCTGCGCTCCCGAGAGGCCCCGCCTGGCAGGCCCGTCACCGTGGAGCTCCTGACCCCAGGACTCTTGCTTGGCAGGGCAGGCGTCTTACCGCGGCCAGCAAAGGGCAGGCCGGGCGCACGGAGGCACTCCGACCCTGCTTCCCTTCCCTCGGCCCCGCAGTGCGCCTTCCTCGCCCGCAGGCCCAAGCCCGGCCCAGCCCCCTGGGCAGCTGGCCCCGTCCGGGCGCTCCGTCCGGCCTGGGCTGGCAGGGTCAGGGCAGTTCTGTTTCGCTTGTGAACGTCTGGCACGTGATCAGACCCTTGGGGTGCCCTAGGCAAGTGGGCTGCACACCTGGCAGCGTTTCCTGCGAGATGAGCAAGGGCCGCTGCGCCGGCGGAGGCGGCCTCTGCCTGCAGGGTTCCTCGGCGGTCCCGCCGCTCAGCTCAGAACTGCTCCGGGAAACCCTGGCCTGCAGTGCCCTGCGCTCACCGTGTGCTCTGCTCGCTTCCTTTAAGCCTGGTTGGCGAACTCCAGGGCCTCGCGCCAGAGTTCAGGCTGTGCCTTAGTGGCTTGAAAGGAGTCTACCTGTGAAGGGACTGCAAGCATCAGGGGGCTCATCTCAGGCGGCTCCCACCTGAGCCAGCCCGCCCTTGGCAGGATCCCTGCCAGGCCCCCACTGGCCCCATGAGGCAGCAGCCAGGGCACCTGTCTCCACCGCAGTAGCGGCTGAGCAGGCGGCTCGCGGAGCCATCACCCACCCCTGCTGCACTCCCAGTCCTGTCTCCCAATAACACATATGCTCCCTCACGAGCCCAGATTGGGCCTTTGTCCCCCGCTTTCCTGTGTCCAAGGAATCCCCACAGTGGCTCTTTATCCCTTAGCAAATTTCCAGAAAAAGTTTCCCCAGGGCTCCTACCCTTAAAGGAACCAGAGTGGACACTCCCCTCCTTCCCCCAGCTCCTCACATTCCAAAGCCCTGGTAAGTTCTCTGGGAGGCAGCGGTCAGATCCTCTAACTCACGACAGAGAGAGAACGCACATGCGGCGTGTGTAAGACGCTCTGCAAACCTTGCCACCAGCCATCTCCCACCCTCTGAAGGCACCCATGATGCACCCAATCCCTAGCCACTCACAGCCTAGTTAGGGCAGCCCCTGCAGGACGTGCTGTGACCAAGGGTCAGCTAGCCTCGTCACCCTGAGTCGGCCTCACTGTTTCCTAGGGCCTGGATGTGCAGTCCTCTTCAGGTGAGCAAAGGCAGAAAGAGGCGAGCGAACCCACTGTGACAAAGCACCTGCCTGCAGCGGGCCTCTGTTCCCACCTCCTCCCTACCCCACCCCACAAGTGCCAGCCCTCTGCTAAGTTATAGCCCTTTCACCACCACCAGCCAAACAGCTGTTCAGACAATTCCTTGATCAAACAACATTGCCTTCTTGAGTTTAAATTTTATTTTACAAAAAGAGAAATAAAGAAAACTGATAGGCAGTTATACTGACTTACAATTGTTCTGTTTGCTTTTTTTAAAAAAGTGACATGAAACACAAGTAAAAATAAATACGTCATAGAAACAGCCAGTTGCCCAGTCTCTGGGGCAGGAGCACCTGCCCTACCGAGGAGGGAAGCCCATGACCACACCCGCAGCTAGAGCACCAGCCACAGGTGCTCCTCAAAGCCAGGTGCAGTCCAGGCCTCAGGGGGCGTCCTGAGGAAAGAAGACGGAAAACCAAAGCCGGGTGCCAGGTCCCTGGGGCCACCTCATCTCCCCCCACTCCTCCTGGCAGCGATGTGGACTTAGTGGTTATCCACTGCAACCCCCTCAACCCACCTGGACCTCCTTCCCCTGACCCCTCTGGAGAGGGCACAGGAAAAAACCAGTCTTGAGCAGGCTAAGGGGATTCTTCCGGTGAGTCCCCAGCCCACCCTGAGTAACAACCAGACAAGTCAGTTTACACTCACGTGCACACGAGCAGGCGTGTGTGCATGCTCACACTCTCACTCACACTCACACACACACACCTGGGCTGAGCTCTCTCCCAGGGGAGGGTCCTGGGTCAGGTCACAGTATGAGGTCGCCCCTCTTCTGAAGATCACCCCAGTAGTGGTAACAGGAAGTACCCCAATCTCTCCCAGCCTCTGCCCCACAGACCCTGCAGCCTGCCTGGCTACCCCTCCCGATGCAGATGCACTGAGTACTAGGTCACACAGGCAGACTCAGGTCCCTGAAGAGCAGAGAAGTTGGACGCCACCTGCTCAGGAAGCTCATCTAAGACGTGGGTACTCATAAAAGGCCCAGGGCCAAGCTAGTGGCACAGACAGACATTAAGGGGCGACAGTGGAGTACTCAGGGCAGAAGAGAGGCGCAGTACAAGGGGACGAGGGTGAGGGTGACGCAGCAAAGAATTCCCAGACAGGCCTCGAGGTGCGGGTTCCTTGGAACAGACAGCAGGGGGCCAGAAAGTCTCCTGGGGGTCCACTGGGGAAAGCAGCTCCTCTCTCAGGGGTTTTGGTGGGAGAAGAGCCATTAGCTGGCTGTACAGGAGGCCACGGTTCAGAAGAAAGACTGGTCTTCGGAGGAACTGGGAGGAGGAAGGGGGTCATGGCCGGGAACACTAGGAACAAGGAATGTAACGCCCCCAGGAGATCTTCCACATGGGAAGGGGCTCGGTTCCAGAGCAGCGCCAGGCCTGAACGGACGGGCAGGGGCCGTGCCCTGCTAACAACGTGGGGAAGGACAGTCCCTCCCAGATGCCTCAAGTTTGGTTGAGTGTTTCAACCTATCAGCAAAATGTACCCTAGCTTTGCTTCAGGCGCTGGGGTGGGAAATTTCGTATTTGTGAATCACAAGTATATAAATTTCATACACTAATTCCTAGGGAAGAGAGTTCCAAGGACCGGAGTTATCCCGAAACCAGCAGATGACGAGAAAGATGCTTACGCACAACTCGAGAGGGTGAGGGCTTTGCAAACATTCAATCTGGAGAGAGATCTGATCCAACACGGTTCACTTAAGTGGCTACTTTGTCTCTGTTCAATTCTTCTCCACAAAGATACTAAGGAAAGGAAATGGAACATCACTACACAAGGTGATCCTGAATCAAGTTGTGCTATATTCCCTCGCTGAGAATTCAGGCGAAACCAGCTGGATGGGGCTTGGGAGGCCTTTGAAAGCTTCCTGTGGAAGACGAGAGGGAGGGAAAACGCCCAGGCCTGATCTGCCCTCCCGCCTGTCACCATCCTTCCCTCACGGTGGAAGCCACCACCAAGTGTGTCTGATCAAAGAAGCTGCAGGACCTGGTGCTCAGGCTGAGACGGTCCCTGCTTCCCTCACACACATGCTCCTGCGTGGTGCACACACCGGCACGCACCGAGACTGCAGGAAGGTCAGAGGTGCTACCACGTTCATAAAAACAACACGGAACTGGCAGTACTCCAGTTTCCCATGATCCCACCCCCAAATGCCTGAACAGTACAAGCTGCACAGATCAAAGCCTTCTCTAGCCAGGTCTAGCCTCCCAAAACTACAGACCCAGACCCTGGAAGCCCTGGGTGGAGAGCAGGCATGTGCTGCCTCTCAGAATACCCATCCCTCCAGGGGCTGCTTTCAGTTCCTTGCTGGGATAGTTTCTGGATTCTCAGAACCTGCTGCTGTGAGTTTCTAGAGGTGCACACAAAATTACCTCTTCCCAGACGCGCGTGCACACGTGTACACACACCCACCCACACNTAGAGGTGCACACAAAATTACCTCTTCCCAGACGCGCGTGCACACGTGTACACCCACCCACACACACCCACCCACACCCACACACACACACACACACACCCCCCCTCTGGGATCCCAGTGCTCCAGGGCCTTAGAGGCATCAGCTGTAGCCCAGGTTGTGAGCGTGCTCTGCAAGCTGGAAACCTGGGCTAGCTAGCTCCTACTGCACCAGCCTCAACCTGAAGGCCCACTCCAACTCTGTCCATTCACCATCCAAACTTGGTGCGCTGGTTGGAACTGCTATTTTTAAATTATTAAAATAATTTGCATAGCTAAGTTGTAGATCTAAGGCTTCTATGAGTAGGAGAGTTGCGAGTCTGACAGGATGCTTATGAAAACAGAGAAAGAAAGTGCCTGAAGCCCCACTTTTGGTGTAACTGAACAGTGCACAAACACGCACACAGGCACACTCCCCATCAGCCATCTCCTCGTCTCTTCTCTAGGGACAATACCCCAGAGTGTGTAAGGCCCTCCAACAGGGAAAAGGAGCTGGTGGGAAGAGCTGCAGGAGCAGCTGCTACTAGGGGTGACCTGCCTAAGCTGCCTCCGGGCTGGGAGGAGGCGGGGCAGCAGCTGCCCGGTGAGGCGGACCCACGGGTAGGTGGTGAAGCTCTACAGACAGACAAGGTATGTTCATCATACAGAAATACCTGGAGAAGTCTCAGCAGCCAGGAGAAAAGCCAAGAGAAAGTCAGCCAGTGTTTATGCTTAAAGGCTAGATGTCCCCTCCCCTGGCATTAACAAAAAAGGGTAGACCCAGAATGATTAATGCGTCCTTTTAAGACACAAGCCAGGCTTAAGGCTCTTACAGAGGAAGGGCTCCTCCACGCTCCTTCAGAGAGGATGGAGGTAGCAGACACCAGGCCCACACTGATCATCAGAGAGGCTGGGGAAGCCAACACACTTCCCAGTAGGAAATCAAGTCTGTCCCCTCACTGCGGCAGCCACCGATACACAGCAGAGAGCCTGCCTCTAGGTCACCAAGGCAGGACGCGGCTCCAAATTTGGGGTCACTCACTTTCCAATAGCAAACTCCATGATCCCAAGTTTCAACCTCTGTGGAATGAGTATCACCCCCACTAATCCTCTAGCCACAGGAGTCCCTGATCTTTCCAAAAGGCCACTTCCTGAAAACATAGCTGTTTAGTGTAAACCTTGGTCGAGCCCAGCTCTCTCCGTGGTCTGCTCACCACCTATGGGGGTTTATTCACCAGCAGCTATGGGGCCTGGGGCATCTTAAAACTGCCCTTTCTATCTCCTACCCTCTTCCCTACCCCAACTCCCCCTCCCACCACCACCAAAAAAAAAAAAA